TTTTGTAACTGGAAAGTGAAGGATTTTTAGTCCAAAACCAAAGTTAACTCATCCTAAGTGGTTAAAACCATGCTACAATACAATGTGCTTCTGCATCTTTGAGAAGTTATCTGTCCTCACCTTAGCCTAAAACAGACTTGAAACCTTAGGCTTGTATTGTTTATGAAAACCTACAGAGACTTGTTTAGAGTCTTGCTCCCTGACCTAAAGCTGACTACAGTTTGAGTTCCCATCACTCTTTCATGGAAGTTCATTCTTAATATTATGTAGATTGAATGAAATGTTTCCATTAGAAGTATTTGAAAATATATACTTCACAGGACCTGCTGCTCTTGTCTTCCTGCATCATATCAATCAGAGGAACAAAGGTCTCAGAGACCACTTCCTGTATATTTTTTTAAAGTAGCTAGGAAGGTGTTACTTTATCTTGTTGCTGCTGTACATCTCCATCGATTGAAGGCTCTCACTCTCTTGACCTCTTATTATGTCTTGAATGTGTTCTGAGATAAGACTTTGAAAGAATAAAACTGTGTAACAGGAAAGCAAGATCTACGGAACAGCACAATCTGTAATTTCATCAGTTGCTCTGATGAAAAACATGCCTAGCCTTCCCTCACTGATCAAGGAAAAACACTCTGTCGAAAAACTACAATTAAAAATGTATAGTCTTAATTCTTACAGTAGAATTAAGGAAATGCCTTTTTTTCCCAGGATGGATTCTGTTTTTTCCTGTGCATTGAAGCAACAGACTGAAGTTTCATGCAGTTCATAGCTGAGAGGCATGAGATCACCCAAGTCTGACAAACTATACATGTGAGGAAAATTTTGCAATATATTTAGGCCAGACTTAGACTAAATTAACTTTGTCCTCAGAATTTGAAATATTTTCAAGCCAAAAATCAGACAACAGAACTGGGTAGCCAGGGACCTTACAAAACTGAGAAAGCAATAATAAGCAAGAGAACTGAGTCAGTTTGAAGCAGTGGATTGATTAAAAAAAAAAAAAAAAAAAAAAAAAAAAAAAAAAAGCACTTGTCAATATGACTGGAAGAAGGAAAAGTGGATACTGAGAGAAAAGAAAGGGAGTCATTGCTGGATGATCCCAAACCTGATCCCAAGTCAGTACGATCTTGGACTAAGAGCACACTTGGAATACCACTTAGCATTGGTCTCTTTCCAACACCAACCCACACGTGGCTTCTGCTGCTGGATAAACCATTCAGCCCCTAGCTGACCTAGAGAAGTCACAGTCAGGAAGCTTTTCATTTTGATCTGGGGAACACTCCCAGAGAGTCCAAAAATAACCCCATAACTTACTACAGATTAATACCATTTACAAATGAATTTGGTCTCCAAACAGACATCAACAAATATGAGAGTAAACAATTGATCATATTAGAAGTGTGGAAGCTTGTACAGAAGGCAATACTGAAACAAAATCCTGATCCAGAATCAAAGTAAATAGAAGACTGTTCCAGTTATATAAATTATCCTGATGGACAATAGTACAAGTCAAGTACAGGAATAGCCATGAGTCACCTTTAATTATTTTCATTTCAACAGACATTTTTGTACATAGATATTTATAAACTTAAAATATAAACAAAACATGTTATGTTCTCCATAAAGGGTATTTTTCATCTACATCTCAAGAGGAAACCTCTTCTAAGGAGCTAGAAAACTAGTATCTTAAGAAACAATGGGGAAAGAATAAACACATGCTGGATAGGGTGGAGGAAACTTTTATATGTTTTACAGATCTTTCCCTTGTTCTTTTTTGTTTTGTTTTGCTTTTTCCCCTCTAATGACATCTGCTAGGCAGAGACAGTCCATTATCTCCATTGATATCAAATTTAAGTAACTAAAAATAGGACTTCTGAATTGAGAAAGTAGCGTCATGTTTGGCTTTTGTTGACAGATTTTCCGGGAGACACAGCCTTCAGAGTGAGTGGTAGATAGTGGTTTGGAAATTGATCAAGTGGGAAAGCTTTCCATTAGAGCCTGTAAACACTCTTGTTTTTCTTTATCTTTTACTCTAATCCCAACATGCAAGTAGTTCCTTCAAAACCACTAAAGGGCCACCCTGTGTTCAGATCATCTCTACAAGGTCTGTATGTATGCATATTATATCTATAAATACATGTATATATAGATTGGGCCTCTTTCAGGTCCCCAATCGGTTTCATTGCCCTCAACATAACACTAACTACTCCCTCATTATGTTCAAAGGTGAAATAAAGGCAAAATAAAGCCAATTTTCATATGTAACTTCTACAGTTTAAGCTTCAGAATCTGGGCATTATTTTAATGACACGTTTTTAAGCAACTGGAAGCCAATATTCTACAGGGAATCCAGATGCTTCCTCCCCCCCGACACAAAACGATAAACATCCAATGAAAGCCACTGAAGTGTCCTTAAAACCACTCGTTCCACTTGTTTAAATTCAGAACTACAAGGCAACAAATTCCCTCAGAAGTTTGCCAGTCTTTTCAATTTCTGATGTTTCCTTGCATTTTCTGTCTGTCTCAGCCTTTCATTCCCATTTTCTTTCACCCCTTTCAGGTTTGTAAAGAACAGTGAGCCATGGCTAGATTTCTGCATCAGGAGCTGGTGTCACCTCTGTTCAACACCATAACCAAGGTTTTTCAAGTCTAGGAAGTATTTGAAGCAGTAAAATGGACCTACGCCAGGAAAAAAAAAAATAGTTTTATATAGTGCTATTTACTATAGGAAGATAAACTATCAGACTAATGTAACACTAGAAAAAGTGAAGAAGCCTACTTTGTACCAGTAATTTTATATATGCATACACATATATGTAGGCATATTAGAGTGTGCGTATGCCTTACTGTTAAAGGCACCATTCTTAGACTATAAAGCCACCTAATGTTGCAAGCATCCTTTTTGAGTGCATATTGTCCAGCATCTCCTTCATAGGAACACTGTGAGAGTGCCTAATTCAGGTGCCCCTGCTGCTATGTCAAGTAACACATTCTGGGAGTAGGGACAGCCCTAGCATCTGGTTCTTTGGGGAAGTGCCTTTAATTCTAGCAAACCATCTGAGTTGGGTGGGGGTCCAGCACTTCTCAAATTTTAAAAAACTTTTCTGGACTAATTAACAACTAAGAAAGCTTAGTGGCTTTCTTCTCAGATGAAGAGATTTTCAGGTAATGTTTGTGTGGGTTTGTTTCATTTGCCAAAAACATAGCAGAAGATAATGAGCCAAAAATCTATTTTTAAAAAGACTTGAAGTGCCTGGTCCTAATTAAATACATAGACTTTTCCACTAGCTGATGGTATAGATTACAGCAATGTTTCTTGATTGCTGAAGTGATCTGAATGATCATAACAGTCAGCAATATGAACTTTTACCATGGTGACAACAACAAAAGTAAAGAACAACATTTTACTAGTAATAGGCAAAACTTCAGAAGGTTGAAAACTTTTATTTGGGTCTCGTAGTTTCCATCAGGCTTCTAAAAATAAATAAGTTCATGAATAAAATAAAACTATTTTCCACTATAAAATCTTCCATTTTAGAAAAAAAAAATGCATATTTTTTAGCAGAAATATCTTCTTTCCCTTTCCTTCATTCCTAAAATTTTATGACTATTTGTAGGAAAGAGGGGAAGTCAGGTGAGTTTCCAAAACTCGGTATTACCATAAGCCAAACTAAGAGAATTGTATTGTTCTTGCATTTCTAGATGAGAATAATTTATATTTATTTATTTATTTTTAAATCAACAAGGCTTTTAACTTGCAGACTTTTCTGTACTGGCTTTCATTACTACTTGCTTCCCTTACTGAATTTATCTCAAGTTTTGAGGCTGTACACCTCATAATATAAGCAAATGTATTCAAAATACAACTGTCTGCCAAGATGCTTTTCTTAAGTCTTTCAATATATAACCCTCAAGAGCAAACCTAACTTTTTATTCATGACTCAAGCTGTCCATTGCAACACAGTTTAAAATAAGAATGTTTATTTTGTAGTTTAATCTAGTATTTAAAAGTAACAAGACTGATGAGACCTGACCTCTATTACTGTCTTTGCTTCATGCCACAGTTTGCAGCTTTAGACTGATACTTTTTTTCACCCCATGTGCAGTGGAAAACTGAAGAAATTAAGGAGTATATTCACACTATACAAAGATAAGATATACACTGATCTGTACAAGGCTATAACCTCTGCTTCCTTCTGCCTCAGTTTTCCCATCTGTAAAATGTACAAATAGCATTTAACAGCAGGGTTTGAATGATTAGTACCTTAGAGTTATGGGATTTAGGGAAAAGCAATAAAATGCATCACGTTTTTCCTCCATTCTGAGTAAGCAGCATGACTCAAGATAACTATCTTTATAAAACATGCCAAGGTTTAACAAATAATTACTTACACAGTTGGCTTCTTAATGGGTTATACAGTCTGGTTAAAGAGCACTAGGGACCAAACAAGCAACTTGTTTTGGACTGAACTGAAATTACCAGGGCTTATGCAAAGGTGGGCAAACGACAACACTATCAGACAAGTATTTTAGATGTATCACAGAAGCTTTATAGTATTCCAAACAGAAAAATTTTGTTTCATGTAGAACAAAATATTTTTTAGCCTCCTTTTTAATTCGGGTCACACTTAAACTGAAGAGTACAACTACGTAACATGATTTTTAAATGAAGCATTCCAACATATGTTAAAACAATATTTCTACAATATTTCTACATTTCCTTTGTTTTTCTAACTGAAATTATTCACAAGATGCCACTTCTTCCCATCAAGCTTTTATTTTTTTATGCATAGGTACTACACACTTTTTTTTTTGGCTCAGTCCAACAGGATAAATAAAAGTATAAAGTTAAACAAGGGAAATATTGGTTCAGACTCTCCTCCTTGATACACTAACAGTTTATACTGGTTTAGGAATACAGCAATTACACTAAGAAAAAGGTTTATCTCCCCCAAATGTATTTTAATAGTCTGGAAGGGAAAAATCAGTGAAGGTACCTGTTTTCCTTCTTAAGAGAAAGGATCACACTAATCTGTTGCCGACGGAAGGAAGACCCAGACGCTCAATATGAGTGATCAGTGAACTTCAACTTTAATGGATAGCTCAGTCGTCTTTTATCTAGTTTGAACATAATCAACTCATACATATTGCAGAAACTAAGCTCAGGATTGGTTAACACTTCCCGGGCTTTTCAGTCTGGTCCTCCTTCTTTTGGCTACCTGTCCCACCTTAGGGACTTTCCCGATGGCCCAAGGGCATCGTGTCCTTGAGCCTGATTGGCTCTCAGCCAGCGGTGTACATGCCAAGGCTCATGTGAGTTGAGTACGGTGCTTCACCAGCCCATTGTCTCCCAACTGCTCAACATTCACATGTCCTGCCTCACTTAATGATTCCTCCACACTAATCCTCATCTCATCATAGACTTCAAGAATATCACAAACATTGTGGCTGAGGATGTTTATGGGTATGTGCTCAATAATTTGCTGGGAGAGGCCTATGGATTCAAAGGACATAGGAAAGCATTCTTCTATAGATGCCTTGTTTCTTTTTTTTTTTTTTTTTAACCAAGATATTGATCACTGACTACAGCTAACATTTTACCCCAGAGTGTAGTATGACTCAGGCTGAAAACAGCTAGTGATGAGGACCCAGTGTCTACATGATACGTATTCCCAAGATCATACTGTGTGCTAGCCTTAGTCTGGTCCCAAAATGCCTGTCAGCTGTTGGCATGCATGAAGTACCCTCTTCATCTTCCAGCTTGGCTTCATTTATAGGAATGCTGTGGAAGTTCTTTGATCATGTCATGATGTGAACTAAAGTATAGTCAGTAAATAGATTTAAAAACACGCTCCTGATCAGAATTAAAATTTTAACGTGGACATGATCTGTCTTACAGGATATTATGCTAGACTGTGGAGGAATGGTTAAGTGAAGTAGGACATGTGGATGTTGAGCAGTTGGGAGACAATGGGCTAGTGAAGTACTGTACTCAACTCACATGAGCCTGGGCAGGTACACAGCTGGCTGAGAGCCAATCAGGCTCAAGGACACGATGCCCTTGGGCCATCGGGAAAGTCCCTAAGGCGGGACAGGTAGCTAAAAGAAGGAGGACCAGACTGAAAAGCCCGGGAAATGTTAGCCAATCCTGAGCTTAGTTTCTGCAATATGTATGAGTTGATTATGTTCGATCTAGATAAAAGGCGACTGAGCTATCCATTAAAGTTGAAGTTCACTGTTCACTCATATTGAGCGTCTGTGTCTTCCTTCCGTCGGCAACAACTGTCAACCAGTTTGGTCAAGTAAGTCAAGTTAATCCCTGGCAAAAGTAGCTCCTGTCGTTTCTTACATTTCATTTTTAGAACAAACTTTTGATTTACAGTGAGATTTACATTTATTTTTTTTAAATGAAAGATGTTAGCTCACACTACCTCAAGATGATATTTCAGTTTTTAGATTTAAATGACATTAATAGATATAATATTCCTAGCTGGAGAAGTATTTGTTCAATGGTACAACTATAGAGTATTTTGTTACTTTGGGGTTTGTTTTTCTTTCAAATATGGTAGTGAAAAAACTTGCCTGAATATTCCCAAGCAAGCTACCAGCTACTGATAAATGCTCATAAATTGCGCCAATACCCACATTTGTATACCCTTAGAATGTTAATGTTATGTTGGAAAAATAAAGCACTGACAATAGAACAGTTGTAAATCCCCACACACAAACAAGCCTAGTGACAGAGGAATTTTTTTTATTTTTTATTTTTTTTAAATTTGCAACCACAACTACTTCTGTTTCTTGCTACCTTCTACTCTTGGTAAAGGTAATTTATTGTCCAAAATTAATACCATAATACTCCCATTGTCTTCCCACTTTATGGTTTTGTTTTGTTTTGTTTATTTGTTTGTTTTCCTTAAGCCAAATCCATGTCTGCACTGTTTGGTACACCAAACTGATACTCTTTTCTCCTCTTCTCCGCTTTGTTGGCTCAGCCCCACAGCAGCAGTACTACTTTGTATTTGGACTATACATACAGAAATATTTTTAACATTTCTCAGGATATCTGAACTGGATGAAAATATCAATACATTGAATTTTACAGGAAGAATGTTTTTAATCAGATGAGCAGAACAGGCAACAAAGGAAAAAATTGCTTATTTTGTTTTTAAGTAGACATGTTCTCTGCACATTTTAGGTATAATCCCACTCAACCAAATCAGACCAAATTTTTGGTTTAGACATCTGCAACACATCTTCGTGACAGATAACCATCCAACCTACCTACTTGACCATATTTCTAACTGCAGAGGCACCAAAAAAACAAGGAATGTTTATTTATCATGACATTTTGGGGGCTTTTAACCCTATCTGCCCTCTTGTGCTAAAAGGTATAGTGAAACCTGGAAATTCTTTGCTTGTAAGACTTCTCTTCATCTCCTGTCATTTAATGGACTGGTGTGTGTTGTGGTTTAACCCCAGCAGACAGCTCAGTACCACGCAGCCACTCACTCACTCTCTCTGTTTGAAATGGGGAGAATCAGAAAGGTAAAATACAAGAACTCATGGGCTAAGATAAAGACAGTTTGCTGGGTAAAGCAAATGCCACACACACAAACAAAGCAAACCAAAGAATTGGTTCTCTACTTCCCATCAGCAGGAAGACATTCAGTCACTTCCAGGAAAGCAGGGCTCATCACAAGCAGTGGTTTCTTGGGAAGACAAACACCATCACCCCTAACATCCCCATCCCTTTCTCTTCCTTTACCCCAGCTTCTATTGCTGAGGATGACACACATGGTTTGGGATATCCCTCTGGTCAGTCTGAGCCAGCTATCCTGGCTGTGTCCCCTCCTAGCTCCTGGTGCATCCCCAGCCCCCTCACTGGCAGGGTAGCAGGAGAAGCAGTAATGTCCTTGGCTCTGCAACAAGCACTGCTCTGCAACAGCTAAAACCGTGTGTTACATCACTGCTATTTTCATCAAAATCCAAAACACAGCAATGAAACCATAACAGTGTTAAAGACGCAAACATCTTAGAAAGAAGAATCTAGATAATTGGTTCTTGTCATCATTCCCCCCATCACCACCCCCAAACTCACACACCCTATCTCCTCCTGTGAGTATACAAGCCAGCTTGGCAAATAAATTCATATTTGCAACTTGTCATTGTCCCATGATGCCCACATTTCTAATGGGATAGAGTCTATTCAAAAAAAATAGTATCGAAAATGCCCTTACCTATAATATAGGTTTTGGTAATTCACTGTTTGTTTTTTTCAATGGGGATACAGAGAATAATTTTTAAACCAAGCAAAGCTTATCGCCCAACACTTTTTAAGCAAGTACTTTCAACACTAGATTGTTGTGTACAGTAACTAATTTCACCTACAGATGACTATTACTTACAATTTTGGATGGAGTCTAGGATAAATAAGAGAAGGGACAGGCAGAATACAGGTATCTAGTCCAATTGCATTGTCAGTTCAAGTAGAAACAGATGCTTACCTGTCTCTAGATCTCGCATTTCAAATTGTGGACTTGGCCTGAAAAGATCCAGAAGTGAATACTTTTGTCCTTTTGGCTAAGAAAACATTATACAGAATACTTGAAACATACCTTGCACTTCCATACATCGCAGAAATACCAGCTAATGTTAATAAAACTTTTCTAGCAGCCACAGTCAGCACCTGTGATCAGTATAGTGTCATTTCATTTATTTCCTTTGAAAGTGGCTAAATACCCATCATCTGAGCCACTTCAACTTGCCTTGGCAATACAAAATACATTATAGGGAACAATCATGCCCTGATGGGGATGGATTGCATAGCTTATTGGGTCTATTCCATCTATAATTTCCATGATGGCTTCTTGAGTGACTTATGCTGCACTAATCTGCTACTCCATAGTAGAAATGGATTTAGAGCAAATCTTTCTCCACAGGTGGCATTTCCCAGTAATGAATTCTGCCATTCAATTATATAATCAGAGTAATTTCTTCATGTTAAAAAAAAGACCCCTTGAATGGCACATAAATTACCACTGGATTAAATTAATACTACTGCTAGGGCTTTCAGATTTCTCCAGTTGACAGACAGCACAGTACTGGTAGAGATGATGAGAAAACATGTCTTCTCCATCTTTTTACATTGGTTTCTTTCTGCTTGTTTTCACAGTAATGTAAATATCTTTCAAATTATTACATCCAGAGCCACCACAGGAGATTTTCAGTGTCATTAACTCCTGGGTAGAAATGTTCACCTCTGCTGATGAATGACCAATTGAATCAAATACGAGGAAGGAAAAAAGATAAAAGATTCTAATAAAATATTTGGTTTACAAATGGTAATAAACTTTTGCAGAGTATAACTGTCAGTTTGATTTACCCTTCAAAGCTAGCACAGCATTAAAAGATTTTACAAAATCAGAGTTCTCTGCTAGTGCAATTGGTTATCACAGTATTCTCACTGCTGCCATGCATGCAAAATTAAAAGTATTTATTTATTATCATTAGACTTAGTCCGATGGTGAGACCTCATAAAACAAACAATATATGTATGGCCTGCAGAATCACTATTAATTACTAACTATTTTGTATGCAATGTTCTAACCTCTCAATGAAATAAACAATCCAGATTAAAAAAAAGTAGAGTCTCCTACTTCCTTAAGTAAAAGTGGAGGGAGAGAACACAAGTGAGAGCAACTAGTTGCAAAGAAAGGGACAAGAAGTCAGACTCATGAACCAATTTCCACTATTTTCTAGAGCAACTGTAAAGGATGTTACAGGTTACCACAGATTTAACCAGAATAGACTGAAAATATATAGGTCACCTGCATAAAATTTAGAAGCAAACATCCTAACCTCTACCGTTTTACTAATACTATTGGTAACAGCACTGCACACTGAGGCTATAATGGTTTATGTCTTACACACTGCCAAGCAAACTTAGCCACAGCGAGGTGCAGCTGTAACATACATCTTCTTTCATCAGAATAAGAACAACACTTTTTGCAGACTGTTCTTCTCTATTATGTATTTCATAATACATACGCTTAAGTTTGTATCTGAAAAAG